GCCCCCCCCGTATCCAAGCCACGAAAACGGCAGCCGACAAAGTTCATCAACCAAACGCAAGGCAACTAACCAAGTCCGAATAAAGCTACAACAAATTTACGGCCAAGAGATGCGGGATGACTGAGGATTTCGTTTCGAACTCAAAAGCTGTCACCCTGGTCAGTTCTTTTTAATTACTTATTACTTACAGGCAAGATCAGTAACAATCCCGCATCTCATGGTTTTGAACCACTTGCAGGAAGCCTAGTTTAGTACATTAGTTTCCCCCCGTCGGTTTTGATGATATCTTATTAGAACCCAACTGGTGGTTTGGTTTTTGAGGCAGATGAGTTGTGCCAGTCCGACAGATGCGCAGTTGATTGTATTAGAGGGCCTTAGGTAAGAGTATGGTGTACAGGAAAAGGAATGAGGGCTATTGCGAGATTTATGAACGAATTAAAAAATAATAATTAACTAAAACTAATCAAGCAAGCGTCACCTTTCTGTGATCATTCCAGCAGCGGAGAGAGCTTGAATAACTGGGTGACGCAGCAAAAATTTCAGTCGTAATCACAAGGCTGTCTGGGGAATGACCGGACAAGTGGAGTCAGTGATTCCGGTGCTTGTGAGCAAACATCCATGGTCTGTCCAGGGTTAGAACCTCATTATACTTCATGCACTCGCCAGATTTCCGACTTATCTAGTCATGCAGCATGCACAGTAATAAAAACATTAAAAAACCAACATTAAGTTGTACCAGCAAGTTCTGCATGGAAATCAGATGGCTGGGATGTGGAGTCGAAATTGCAGATGAAGATGGACGTACGCGGTAGAAGTCATCCGGGGTTCCGTCCATTTCTTTTTAACGTATGCTTCGCAATTATTCTTCGGCTGAATATCTTCTGTTAGGTAAAACGATTCGCTTCATATCATGTCAGATTCTTACGATCGACACCTTTTGTTTTACTACAAATAAAGACATTTTTCACCGGTACACTTTCTCTCCTTTATATCGGGTGACCGTTTTTTCTCCAAAGACGAAATTCTTTTGTACGCGGCTTGAAAAGTAAACAGACTGAAAGCATTATTGATATTTATATTATTCACGGATACCCCATGCATGCGAAAGCGCTTAGATTCCAAGTAATTGGGCTTGTTTCCGTTTCGTCTTCCCGGTTAAAACCTTGCGTAACTTGGTGCAGGTTTATCCACTAAATGTGTTGAAGTGGCAGAGGAATATTCGGGTCGAAAGGTGGCTCTTACGGTAGTGCTGTTAGTGAGAACTAGTAACCACGTGGTCTATAGTAACTCACCTACTAGTGTACTGAACACCAACCTCTCCCGTCTGCACTTTTCACTCTCTCCAATATACTGTTCAGTGCAACTGTGCAATCTGCACCTATGCAACCCGACGAAATTGCACGCAGCTCAAAACCAAACCAATGAACGGGGTTCCAATAACTCTTCATCCAAGCTGGAAAACTGATACATTTAGCTGGGCCTTTCTTTCTTGCAGATAGTTCAAATCTATGAGATGGAGGTTCGTTGCGGATCTTACTCCGGAGTGGAACGCTCATCAATCCGTCCTTAATTTATTTTAACTATACATTAAAACAGAATATGTAAATATGTAATTTAGGTTCAAGTCTGTCTCAATGTGTTTGAAACTTCTCCTTATGAGATGATATATGCTTAAATAAGTGGTACAAGCACTTTTCAACAAAACAATTATATTGACAAATATTAGTTTATCCAAATAATTAATTATACAAATAGATTCGATTCAAAACGATCTTACATCTCAACGTGGCGAGCAACAAGTAGGTTGGGTCAGAGACCCAATGTAGCTGTGGCACCAGTTTTTTTTGAAGACGACCTGTTTTGATACCAGGGTGATGGCTGATCTTGATGTATTAGAAAGTTTTTAGGCATTAAGGCTAGGTTACAGAAATACGATGACGAATACAGTCACGAAGGAGGTGTACAAGCTCGCTTATTTACATAATAAATGAAAATTCTATTTCAGAAATTACTTACGAAACAGTTTTAAACCAGTGCTTCGTCCTCCTTGAAATTTTCTTAGGACAACATGAATGATTATAACAAGCACCGCGAGTACATTCAAAAAATTATTATCAGTGCACTGTTCCTAAAACAGATGCGTTATGTTAATTTGCTTTGCTCTGCTTTCCAAAACTCCCCCACTTTCACAATGGCACAAAACGTTACATTTGTCTGTTAAATAGTTTTTCGGCAGCAAGTCCCCCCCTTGCCAACAGCAACATTATCGACAAGAGAAGGTATCCGCCACTGCCACCTCCTCGACGCAAATCTATTTATCGATCGCCTTACAACCAATAGCAAAAACACATGAGTAATAACAGAATTTATTGTGAACAAAGAATATGAAACGTGAATGAAAAGTGGTTACGTTACTTACAGTGAATGCGAGAGAAGACGGACAGGGTAAAAACGACGAATGAGTATAAGGTTTTTCGTTCACTTAGCCGAATGAACACGCTGAGATCTCCGATCAATCGGTCAATCAATAAACAACGGTGACAATGTCAAAATTAGACAAACGTTTCGCTTGAAATTAATTATATTAAGCATATATGGCGTCACGTTTTTCAGTCCAAGTTCATTTGCTGCAAGTAAAACGATTCTCAACGATAAGTTAAGACGCGAAAAACATTAAACAGAAGAAAGAATGAAAATAAAGTATAAAAAGAATTAAAGTAGACCAAAGTTTCATTCATCACAGCGCTGATCAAAATCGACGACGATGTAGTTTTTGCTTTAAAGCTGTTGTATTGTTTAAGCAGAAGATATAAGAAAAAGAAACAAAAGCACAAGAAAAAGAGGAAAATCAGAAGGAATAAAATAAAAGGACGCGTTAAAACAGCGTTTTAAGACTAAAACATTTGTTTGCCAACGTAAACAACTCGCAAACAATACGCAATAGGCCTATCGTCAATAAAATTGACAAACATCCCTGCAAGAAATTCTTAAACAGACAATACAACTGGACAATCTAAATAAGAGGTAATCTGAGGCGCGATATACTCGAATCTACATTGATGCTCCAATCATTGTTCAAGTGGTGGTTAGCGGCGGCCCCATCGGCGGCCATGCGACGGGCGTCCCCACTGCCAACTGGAGCCAGCTTCACGTTCCCGTTCAAGTTAACGTTATTATTTCCACCGTCCAACGGTCGGGGCAGTTTTCGGCGAAGCCAGCAATGCCTCAGTGCCTGAGGTGGAGTCATTCTTGTACTAGGGTCCCAGTCGAGGCATCGCTTAATAAAGTCCAGGAACGCATCGTCTTTGATGCCCTTTAATGCCGTCGACCAACCTCTGCTTCCCGGAGGCCCACGTAGCTTACCTCGTCGAGACCTGCCGCCGCCCAATGCCACCGAGCCGTTCGGTAAGTAAGTCAACGTACAATAACGAGGGTAGCCTAAACAAACAAAACGATTAAAGATAACTTAAAGTCTGAACATCCAATACGTCCCATGGGACATCACATATTTGAGTGATTTACGGAAGACCCTACCCGACGAATGCTGAGGTCTGACACTGAACCATCTTCCAAAAAATCAGTGACACTTTCACTAGAGTGCATATGCTACTATGAATCAATAATGAAATCTGATCTGTAGTGATATATAAATGATACAGCAATAACAACAGGAAACGCAAACTTTACAATCGCTGGAATGCAGGTCTCAGCATAGACAGGTATATTACGCAGTAAGATAAAATACAAGACCAGTTCTCTGTCTCTCATCACACCTTTTATAATTTCGATTTGGCTAAACGTTTTCCACCTTTGTGATGACTTATTAATGCTAGCAATTTAGTAGCAAACCCAAAATACCGGAGTTGGTCTTTAGTATATATTCGTATAAGTCGACGCGCATATGCTGGTTTTTTTTAAAGGTCACCGTTCTGCCCTCATTCACTTTAGATGCTGAAATACCACGGAGCCGCTACCTGAATAAACGGTCCTCGAGGCTACCAGAAGCAAGAAGATGGTGCGACGTGCGACTACGCCGTATAAATCCGAACAACTGGCAGGAGATTGATAGACTGCTTCTCGCTCATTCACAGATTGTCATTAAAGTTTAAACATCATAATCATCCCTTCGTCCGATTATGTCAAATAACGAATCAATCCTCCAAGACCACATTTCACGGTGTGCTGCACCACTACCTTGATCCAGCTGTCCAGCAAGGGGAGGACATTTAAGCAGGCCACGGTTTCTTGGTATTTGAGCACCTATAGTTCCAGGTGCATCTTGTATCATTTTATCCGCTAGACCCACCTCGCATTCATGAGGAACAATGCTTTGGTAACTGGTACCGTTTATATTAACCTCATAAGTTGTTCATACACCCGAGTACGATAAATAACGAATTACACATCCAAGATCAGATCTCCGGACGCATTGCAGATGTAAGCTCTAACAGAAAAATGATGCGAGAGGCATCGGTAACTGCAGGCATTCAAACACAACGGAGCCGTGGCCTGCTTAAATGCCCTCTCAGGCGCAAAAACAAGAGAGCGGTGCATGGAATGTGGTCTTGGAGGACTGATTCGTTATTTGATCATTACAGTTCATTATGCCATATTTTATTACATTGCATTAGCACATTATATTACGGTTATACTTTATCATTCTCTCATTTTTCTCTTATCTGATCATCTTTGTCACATGACATGCATAAAAAGCCAAGGGTAGTCTACAATTTCACAAAATACGAGCGACAAGTTCATTGATGGTCACTTGAACTAATCGCTACTTCAGCGTTATTCGTTCGGAACGTTTCTTTTTTCACAGGACAGAAAGTTCGATAATTGAAAACATACCGAGTTGGAAAAGAAAGCAATAAAGAATTGTTATACCGTC